GTATAGTGATTTACATCCAATATGCCTTCAATATTCATCTGCAGGCGGCGGATTTAGACCATTCGTATTATTATTGTTCTGGTCTTAAGGAGAATGTCAATTATTTTCACCGTTACCTGTAAGTTCGTGTATATGCATATCTTGGGTTACAAACACGAAACACGGGTTGGTTTTTCTTACTGCATTTCTTAGTAGTTCCAATACTGGTCATCGATTGAAACCTGGCCTTTGGATTTGGTCCTCATTAGACACGTATTTCTCATGTGCTATATGGTTTATAATTTAATAAGAATGGTCATTTTCTTGTTGTAACGCTTGGCAGTCTTTAGGTTCATCGCTTTTGTGATGTGCTGAGTGACTGAATCCTGCTCTTGCTAGATTTTTATATATTTGTGAACCAGTTCTATGTCTATTTGTCGATTGTTTGTGCATAAGAGAGACTGCCGCAGCCACTTGATACCCTAGTAAGGTTGGTGGTGGTCGATTGTGTCCCGTTGTAATATTGATTTCAAGTTTTGATGGCTTGTCGAGAATTTTAATATATACCTTTGTGGTGTTCTTTGAAATAGAGGCCCAGACGCTTTCTGTCTGTTCATGTCCCCCATTGCCTTAGTGTGCTGTTTGTCTACAGAATTGTGTTTGTTTTGTTTCTTCAATCCTATCTGTCACATATATCTCTAACAAATGCTTTACAGAATTGACTTGGGGTTTCCTTAATGTTTGCATCAACTTACAGGCATGTTATTGTTGGAAGTAGTGTGAAATTTATGCATTCTAACTTATATCAACAGTAGTGATTTCAGGATTTTGTCTGTTTATGATATCTGTGGTGAAATTGTTCATGCTTCCAAGTAAAATATCTTTTCACTTGTAGGTAAAGTGGGCGTGTTATTGATCTCTGAATAATGAGGAAGTAAAGGTAGTTTCATCTCCTATGTTAAATAATTATATGGATTTTCCTGGCTTGCAGATTCCTAACAAAACGATATGAGTGAATTAGATGTCAATTTGATTTTCTTGTGGTAATTCGTCTTATAGAACTGTCTCTGATTGTTGGTTGTTTTCTTTTTTTGGTGTGTTCTGGTGTGATTTGATTTTGTTGTAATTTCTGTTTGTTGTTTAACTTGTTTTATTTTGTTGACGATTTCAATGGATAGTCTCAAATGCAACCCATATTTATATACACGTACTTTACTATGGAATTTTGCTTTTTGTTCTTCTGTCCAAAATAATGCTAAAGTACTTTGCGGAACACAAATGGAGCTTTTATGATTTTGGCTCTCTTCCAGTATTCTTGGTGAGCTTATTTTTATATATATATGCTCTTCCTACTGGTGTTGAAATTTGAAAACCTCATCTTGGATATTGTAATCTCTGATTTCTGGACATTCGTGTCTATGAATCATGGATTTGAGCCTTAACCACAAAATAGTTTTCTGATTTTGGAATTTGTTCTGTAAAATCCTTCTGCTGGCAATTCATTATTTATTTTGTTCTTTTCTTGGTGAGAGTAAAAGAGGAGAGAGGTGGCGTTGTGTTTTTATATCAGATTGTTGATTTTTTCTTATTGTATCTTCACGTTTAGTTGTACCCTATTGGTCTCTTATAGTCCCATTGGTCCAACACGGCTTTTTTCTGTGCGTTCTAGGATTGTACTTGCCCTTTACGCTCTGTATTTTTCTCTTGTGCTTTCACTGTTTAATACTTTCTTCCATTTTTTCTTCATTATCCAGAGGGAATTTGAGTCTTGCAGTCTTGCCGACGTCTTATCTGCGACTCTCATTCATTGGGGATGATGGTAGCACTGAAAGACTAGTTACCCTAAGTGGTAAATCTAATTCTGCAGCTGTCGTTGTTGAAGAAATCCCAACAGACAGTTCTGGCCGATCTTTCCAAATAAAAATTGCTGGCGGGGCAGATTTTTACTATTGGTGCTCTGAAAAATCAAAGCTGTTGGGAATCGAATTAATTGCCAAGGTATGCAGAAGGTTCCACCAATTCTCAGCGGAATGACTCTTACAAAAGAACAATCTTGACTGCATCACTAAGCTTGTAGAGTTTTAGTTAACAGATATTTGGTGGAGCTGGTAGATTTAGGACTCTATATATGCACATTGTTTATAAAGCTTCTAAATACTGGTCTTGTTTTGTTTTTATGATGCTAGCTGCTACCAATTAACGTTTGTGTGTGCTTTTATGAATAATAGATGAAGGATATCCTGAAGAGGAAGCCATCAATAGCAGAATTAACTGGAATTAGCAACTGGCGCCTCGATTGCTTCGCAAATCACATTCGGTCGTATCTCATGGGCCTTAGCAGCAAAGAATGTACGGTTGCTGGCCCGTTCTCTTTCACCTCAGATGACTCTTCTTCAGCTTCTACAAGTTCTCAGTCATTGACGCCCCAGCAGCGTTCCAGACACCTTGGCAGTGGCCAGCCACCAAAGTCCAGCAGCAGCCATTATCAAGGAAGCCTCAGCCCGCGGTCAAGTTCCTTCAAGGATGGTCCAAGCAAAAGCTACGTGTCCTCCTCTTTGAGACGGGAAAAGCTACGACGCCGTGGAGATAGCAACTTGTCACCACTCGACAATCTGGTAGTCAGATTGCCATCTTCCATTGATTCCTCAAATTCAAGACCTGAAAATGGCAAGTCCCCTGAAAATGAAACTCTTGCTGTGGGACTTTCGAGCTTTAACCCATCACTTCAAAGCTCTACACTGCCACTACCTTCTCTAAGCTCACCCGCCCTCTCACCTTACTATTGCTGGTGTCCTTTAAGTGGATCCCAATACTCTTCAGCAGAGTCTCGAGAAATTCCCTTCTCATCAATACAGACACCTTTGCTTCCTCCACTTTCTTCCTTGTTGTCTGCCTCCTCCAGCTTGTTAGCACCACTCCCGCATCTTGGCTTACCGGATGCTCCATCGCTTGATTTCCCAGCCTTGTTCCCCAACCCATTGGTTCGGCTTCCTATTCCTACTTCTCAGCAGATTCCTACCTTCACCCCATTGATATGTGATCCAATTGTTCACATCCCAGCCGTTGACATTTGCTCGTCTGGTCCAGCATACCTGGTGAGTGCCGGTCCCACAACAATCACTGGTACCATGGCACCATTTGTAACTTCTTCCGAATCGGAAGCAGCTTTGGAAACCGGCGCAAGGGAGACGCTTCGCTTGCTCATCAGTGGTTCGACAGGCACTAATCCTCAACTAATGAATGTGTTGCCTAATCTCTACACCACCAGTGCTGACGATGGTAAGAAAACCGGAATACTTGTGGTTGGCAGCCGAGGACTCTACAGTAGGGACAGTGACATTGATTCAATTGCTAGTAATATGGCCACATTAGGCTTCCTCTCCTTGTCCCAGAGCACAATGGGAGATGGTATTGCAAGTGAATTGGATGATGCGTGCGAGAATATCGAAGTTTTGCAGAGAGAGTCTAAAGGTATGGATGAATCATCATGTTCGTGATAATATGATGCTTATGTTTCGTTTCAGACCCTCTTTTCTGTTGGGGTTTTGTAGTTGAGCTTTTGCTCCTGGAAAATGAAAAGCTATATGCATGTATATAGTATATGTTTGCAGCTGCCTTGGCGTATCCCAAGTGTAATTAGTTCCTCCAAGTATTTGGTTTGCCATTGCATGGAGGGGTAGTGTGCGCCCTCGCCTCTTGTTTATTGTTGAAGTTTTTGTTGTTAGAAATGGACGCCTCTGTAAGGTTTCTATTACCCATTTCATACATGCATAAGTAAAGGAAAGAGATGATACGTAGTTTAGCTTCTGGCTCGAGGTTGAATCTTCTTGACGAAGCATCTTTCTGGATGGGACTAGTGCTTGGATCAGATGAACCACGTCATGATGCTAAGAATTTTGAGAGGAAAATTGTTTCATTTATTCTCTTAACTTACAACTATATGTTGTGCGACATGAATAAAGGTAAGCACTTGGAGCTTTCTCCGCCAACTGGGTAAGTAGTGGATGATCCGATCCATCCAATTTGACCGGAAAATTGCATGGTCCATGAAATCGTTCCGGACACACCGTACCGGAAAAGTCAGCGATAGGGTAATACCATTAAATACCGGTTATCGGTTTAGCCTTCAATAATGGTATTTTGTGATTGAATCGCTGGTACGATACGGTTTCATGGACCATGGAAAATTGGAGGAATTTGTAGCCACAACTCTATGTGGTTGCTAATGCTAATACTAATGGTGGAGGTGGGTGGTTGTGCGTTTGTAAATATTTGGTTCACAGTAGTAGTAGTATAGCAGTCTCTTTTATGGTGGATGCTGAGAGTGGGGTTCCTTCCCATTCCCAGGTTGGTCCCGTTGGACAGTTATCATCAGTATCCTACTCCTGATCTTGAATGTGATGGGCCCCCATCCGAGACAGGCAGGCCCAGACTATCTTATCGGCCCATGACTTTCTGTGATCCTTCCTTTCCATCTATCAACTTCTGTAAATAAAAGAGAGAGAGAGAGAGAGAGTTTGTGCCCCCTCGTCTCGTGGCTGGGAACAGACGAGTCAGTCTCACAAAGCTGGACAACATATGTATTTTATGTTTATCTAAACCCCCCACCCAAGAAATCAAGATTCCTCCTCGGCCACCGGCACCGCCAGGCATACTATACAATAAGAAATGCAGATACTTCTCAATTTCAATGAATTCTGTAGGCTTAATTGCAAGTTTGGTCACCCGAATTGCTTAAAAATTTCACGCTTGCCACCCGAATTGATTTATTCCATTTATAGTCACTCGAATTAGTTGAACAGTTCAAGTTTGGTCACTCTCCGTTAACCTCCGTTAGACTCCGTTAATGACGACCGTTAAGTGATGACGTGGCTAACAGAAAGACACAGTCAGCACATTTAAACATTAAAAAACGACGACCCGACCCGCCAGCTCAGCCTTACCCGCCCAGTCAGCCATTCTTGCCCAACCTGTGAACCAACCCAATTAATTGACCCTAAACCCAAACCCGAGACCCAAACCCTAAAAACTTTAGCCGGAGGCGGAAAGCTCTTCCGATGGTGGTGCTGGTGATGGTGATTTGACAAAGAAGAAGAAGAGAGTGACGATGGATTCGGAGGTAACATCCTCAGGGAGCTGGCGGCGCCCACGCCTCCGCCTCCGTCATCGTCGTCCTCCTCCTCATCGTCGTTTACACTCTCTTCCGTCGTTTCATCGCCGGCATCTTCTCTGATGCTGCCGTGCATCAACCGGTCTCCTCGCCGGCGCTTGCTCCGGCTGCTCATCCGATCTCTATCCCGCTCTCTGTCCCGTTCACGATCTCGCTCCCTCTCCCGTTCTCTGTCCTGGTCCCGATCTCGATCCTTTTTACCAATCCCCCGATCTCGCAGCCTCATCGTCTCTGGCAACTCCACAGGTCCGTCGTCCTCTGTGAAAACGAAAGAGAAGAGAATCAGCACAAAGGAGTAGAAGGAAGATAAAGCGAGCGAAAGAATATCTAGATCTGATGGGAAAATTCAAACCTGGAGAGTCTCTGAGGCTGTTACTCCTATGTCGCCGCCGGTTCAAGCCGTTGCTCACGGCCATGGCCACTCGTCTAGGTTCTCTGTTTCTGTCCATATCTGGCGTTGTGATAAGGTGTTAACAAACAGAAGAGGTGTAGGAGCTGGATCGCATCTCACATCACCGGAAACCGAGCATCACTGGTCGGCAAAAATGGTGGATTTCTCTGGGTTTACTTTCCAGGGGGGTTGGGTCTCGGGTTTGGGTTTAGGGTCAATTAATTGGGTTGGTTTGCGGGTTGGGCAAGATTGGCTGACTGGGCGGGTAAGGCTGAGCTGGCGGGTCGGGTCGTCGTTTTTTAATGTTTAAATGTGCTGACTGTGTCTTTCTGTTAGCCACGTCATCACTTAACGGTCGTCATTAACGGAGTCTAACGGAGGTTAACGGAGAGTGACCGAACTTGGACTGTTCAACTAATTCGAGTGACTATAAATGGAATAAATCATTTCGGGTGGCAAACGTGAAATTTTTAAGCAATTCGGGTGACCAAACTTGCAATTAAGCCGAATTCTGTATTTTGCACTAACGGCTTATGTGACGTCGGAATGTAATTTTTAGGAATTCTTTGAGATCGATATGTTTGTTTAAAGACCATATGTATTATGATGTCAAAATCTCTGCACGAATTTACTTGTGAGGAATTCTTAGGATTGTAATGATAGCAAGGAATTCTTGAGATCGATATGTTTGTTCAAAGACCATGTGTACTACAATGTCAAAATCTCTGCACGGATTTACTTGTGAGGAATTCTTGAGAGGGATATGCAACTAATCACATATATGTATTATGATGTTAACTAATCACATATATGTATTATGATATTGTTCGTTTTGAGCTAACTCTGAACATATTTATTTTTTGGGTATCCTTCTCTAAAATGCTTCATACAAATGAGGTTGGTGTACACATACAAGGGATTATTCTCTAGCATTTCATGTGGTTCTTGTATTATCTCATAACAATCCTCCCCTTAATACAAGACCACGAACATTGTGTCCTCCCTCAATGATTATTTTGATCCGCCAAACACCTTGCATATTTTCGTTGATAGGCCAGACAGACACATATCTTCCTCAATCTGCTAAACAAACGAATATATCCACTTGATCTGTGAGACGAACACGAATCTCCTTTGATTCGCCAAACAGATGCAGAACTCAAATCGTGAGGTCGTCGAATGAGGGTCCACCCCCATAGATCCAAAACACCAAACCAAGCTATGATACTACTTGTCGAGACTGTGTAACTTCATTAGTACGATATTGCCCGCTTTTGGCCAAACTCGCATGAATTTACTTTTGGGTATGCTCCCCAAACGACATCGTACATATTGGGATAGGTGGACACTTATATACAAGAGTTTCTTCCCTTGTATTTTCAAATGTGAAACTTGTATTGTCTCATCACAATCATCCCCTCAAGACAAGGACCACAAACTTGTGTCTTCCCCTTAGCGATTATCTTGACCCGTAGGTCAGATGTAGATCAACTTTGATCTACTACACAGATGAGGATCTCCTTGATCCTCCAAACATGCGTTGATCTCTCCTAGATCCACCAAAAGACGCATATCTCAAATCCAAAGGTCATTAAATGAGCCCCACCAAACTTAAGCCCACAACCCTAGATCTAAACCAGACTCTGATATCACTTGCTGAGATCGGATAGCTCATTAGCACGACATTGTCCTCTTTGGGCCAAACCTAAACAGATTTACTTTTGGGTATCATTTCCAAAAGGCCGCGTACTAATTGGGATTGGTGGACACTCATATACAATAGTCATTTCCCTTGCATTTCCAATGTGGTACTTATCTCATAATAATCATCCGCTCAAGAGAAGGACCACAAACTTCTTGTTCTCCCCTCAATATTTATCTTGATCCGCCTAACCAAATGTAGATCTCAATTCCCTAGATCACCGAATGAGGGTCCACCAAACTAACATTTACTATTTGGATCCGAAACACCAAACTATTTTCTGATACCACTTGTCGAGACCGTGTAGTACTTAATTGGGGTCTCTCTATGTACAAAAAACTTCATCATAACAATGGAATCATAAGCTTCCATTGAGATTAGCATTATACTTAGTTGTTATAACACACATAATATATTAGTCCCATCCAGTAGACATATGCCTTATAGAAAGCCTCTCACAAGGGGAAAAAAGTATTTGAATGGAAGATGGCAATTATAACAGAATGAAAAGTTCTCATAATGACAACTTTAAGCATAAAGCTGCGGTATAATACTGGCATTAGCCCACTATCCAATTATTTTGTAGGGTAGTACTATATGTTATCTATAATTTTCTTTTCCTGCCTAATTAAAGAACTTTAATTCATAACATACCGAACTGAATAGATAATGTGAATTTAATTAAATCGAAAATAAGAATATAGAAAAATAAAAGAGTAGAAATAAATATAGAAAAATTGAATATTAAATAAGAAAATTTGATAATATTTAGTGTAAAGTTAAAGTTTACTATGAATTATTATAATTTTTATTAATTTTATCCTTTTTTAATGTTGATTGGTTATGACTTATTGTAGTTAATGTCCATAGTAAGTAGGCATAACAATTTCACCTCTTTTATTCTCTCTAGAAGACATTCAACAAAGAATAGACTCATATGTTTTGGAAAAATGTCTAATAAGAAAGCAAGTCTTCCCCTTGTGTGGTATATTCTTCCTTTTAGCATTTGGACTTAATATTTTTATTGTTCTAAGTTCTAACCATATAATTAAAGTCCAATACAATATTTTTATTATTATTTTAAACAAATAATTAAAATCCAATACATAGTAATTTGCCTTGTACATAATGGAGCTCATAGAGGCCCCTATAATTTGAAGGCCCTATGCTCGAGGACCTCTCCGCACACCACAGAGGCGAGCCTGATGGTCAAGGTCGAGAACATCAACGTTTGAAACTATAAGCTAATGGAGCTAACCTTTTTTTTCAATCGCTGGCTAGGCATTAAAAATGGCAAATTTTCAAGGTGGATCCGACAAGTTTTAAATCACTGGTCCCCTCTTTCAATCCAATAATTTTTACATTCAATTACACATTGCAATTTTGATAATTTTGAACCCACTAACCTATCATTCCTTGTAGAGGAAGACTAACTCTTTGTGCAAAAAGTAAACAAATTCGAATCATTAACTAGTGGCCTAGAGTTCACCTATAAGAAAATAAAAATTGCCTGGGCCAATGCCTCCAACTTCGTACAAATACTATCACCTTAATCTCTTCCTCAACCACGTCCGATCCTCCTCCCTAATTTAGTTGTTATTAAAAGTAATCAACCACATTCCTTTGTAGTTATTATTTATCGATTGATTTGGTCAACAATATGACTTTGGAGATAGGACAAAACTAAATGCTAATATTTGGTTCAATTTGTTCATAGGTAATGAAATTCAAACATTTTGCTTGTTTGTTTTGAATGTATAATCAATCAAATCACTTATAGATTCCAATTGAAGCATCGAGATCTCTTTTAGTTGTGTTTATAAAGAAAGTGATCATATAGAATCAATTATATATGTGACCCCTCTCCAATCATATTAACCCTTGAAATTTAGCTATCCCCCTAATTTGGTGATTAAATTAGCAAAATCCAACAAAAAATGACTTTTTCTTTATCAACACCACCCAAAATGGGAATTCAACACTTTCTAGAACTTGTCGTGCTTCAGCAAGCAATCAGTATAAGATCCACAGTTTTCCCCATCAAGGTCTCTTCCTCCTCTACCAAAGGAACTTTTACTTTTAATATTGATGATTAAAACTATTTGCAACTAATCAAAGTATAAGTATGTGTTATAATGTACTCATGTACAAGTACACAATAATAATGTATGTGTTGACAGCCGTAGTTGTTCAAAAAATAATTGTCTCACCGTAGACCGTACTTATATAAATATTTTCGGGAAATAATAGAGACCGAAATAATAAATTATTTAATTAAATAAAAAAGACAAGTTGGGCTTTTTACCGTTACAGTGAAACCAGGCCACGTAGGATACTCTTGGTTATTTATTCATCCCAGAGGCATCTAATTCCTTTGTCGTTTTCCCTCTCTAATCTCTTTCCACTGACTTTTATTTTATTTTTCGAGGCACGTACTTTATATTTCCTCTTTGTTCTATACTTTTTTTGTCCATTTAATTTCCTGTCCTTTTTATTGTAAAAAAAAGAAAAATAGTTTGTTTCCTTGGCGATTGCCATAACTAGGGTCCCCGTCCCTTCCATATATTATGTGCGGCTCACCTCCATCGATCCCTTCCTAGTTTCATCCACTATAAACTGCTTCCCAACTGTCGCCCTCTGTTTTTTTTCCTTCTTCGCTCACCGCCGTCATCCTTCGCATCTCTCTTTTCTCCCCTTCTTCTTCCCGTCACTTGGCTCAGTTGACCCAAATGAAGCGATCTGGATATGGTTAATTGTTTCGCCGGCGGGTAATCGATGAAAGGTTCTTACTTCCCCTATTTCTCGTCTTCTCGGATCGTTCCGCCGGAAGACACGCTTACTTTTCTTTCTATTCCTTCTCAGCTGAGATTAGATTTAGATAAATCGTCCCCCTTTTTTCTTTTCTTTTCTTTTTCTTTGGGGTTGTTTCGTTTCTCTTTCTTCTCTAAATTTTCTTTCGATTGCATGATGTAGAGTGGACAGCTGTGGTTGTTCAGCAATGGAAATTTGTGGGTTTTGGGAGATACGGATTGGGTTCTTTCTCAATTTGCCCAATTCGATTGGGATTCGATGGAGCAGCTCATAACCACTTTTATAGAAAGTTCGAATTTTCTTCGGATTTCCATCTCTGTCTGTAATTCGAAAATTTACCTTTTCTTACTCACGGAGATTGAAGAAATAGAAATCCCCATTCACTTCTCGTCCAGAGACAGAGTATCGGCTTTCATCTTACTGACAAACTAAAGAAACGCCGAATTTGTTCTTCCCCTGTTCTTCCCCTGGAGATGGAGAATAACGGGAAAGTCAACCGAGCGAGCTGCTGCAGCGAGAGCGGCGGCGGTGGCGGCGCGTACATGGCCGACGTTGTTCTGGGCTGCGTGATGCCGTACATCCACGACGCGCGTGATAGGGACGCGGTGTCACTGGTCTGCCGGAGGTGGTATGAGCTAGACGCTCTGACCCGTAAACACATCACGATTGCGCTCTGCTACACGACGAGCCCAGATCGGCTCCGCCGGCGGTTCAAGCACCTCGAGTCGCTGAAGCTGAAGGGGAAGCCCCGGGCGGCCATGTTCAATCTGATACCGGAGAATTGGGGCGGGTACGTTACCCCGTGGGTGAAGGAAATCGCCGGGTCGTTTACCTGCTTGAAATCGGTTCACTTCAGGAGGATGATTGTGACGGATTCGGATCTGGAGCTTCTCGCCAGGTCTCGTGGGAAGGCCTTGCAGCACTTGAAGCTCGACAAGTGCTCTGATTTCTCCACCGATGGGCTTCTTCAGGTGGCTCGATTGTGCAGGTAAATGGGATTTTCTCCACCTTTTCCCTTTTCAGTTGTATGTTTGGTACAGTCTTGCAACACATTGAAATGTTTTTCTCTTTCATTTGCATTTCGGGAATGGAAGTTCTGCTGCCGGGCTTCATTTTTATGTGTGTGTGCTTCGTTTCTTTTCCTTAATGGGATACAAGTCTCCGTATGCATATTTATGGCTGGGAATGGTTATGGAAATGGAAACTTCTGCTTTGTTTTGTAGCAGTGTTGACCATTTCAGAATCTGGGTTTATCATTTGCAAGTTTTATGTACTCTCTGCTTGTGGTTCGTGGCGTTTGGGGTTGGTAGGAACTCTCATGGATTTCATCAGCAAAATGAGCTCTTTTCTTTTGCAGAAAAGGATCTGCCTTTTGTGCCCGTGTAGGTTGTGATTGTTTCCCTAGATTAGCTGTCAAAGCTCTGACACTCCAATCTTGCAGGGAAAGATTAGCTTTACTTAAAAAAAATGCAGGGGAAGTGCCTCTCATAATTGAATATCAGATTGCAGATTGATTCTAACGTGTTTTTTTTTGGGGTCTCATAGCTTCTCTCAGTTAGCAGTTGTAGGATTTATTCTGACCTGTTGTATTTGGTTGAAAATTGAGTGATTGTAGTTTGGTTGTCAGGGAGGTAACTAAGTCTATCTGTCATATTTTTAGTAACAGTTCTATGTTTCATCGCAGCAAGGTTGCTTTTAACTGGAAATTGAGCTTTGTGAGCAAGAACTTCTAGGGTTTTCATTTACCCTGATGACTATGACCTCATTTGTTATCGTTTTTTTACAATCTTTCTTCTCCTCCATCTTTTCTGTTTTACTTGCCAAAGGTGGTACATAAGTATGTGTTAAGCATGAGCATATATTACTCTACCTTGTTTCTGTTCTCATTTGAAGTGAAGCATATCGGTTTTGACACTCTTATTTTCCGATTTGCTGTACTTTCGTGGTTTTGACATTCTGTATAGTATCATGAGCATCGTACTCACTCATGGGGTTGCCATGTGGTTTGCAGGCAACTGAAGACTTTGTTTTTGGAAGAGAGCATTATCTTGGAGAAAGATGGTGACTGGCTACATGAGCTTGCTACACATAATACCGTACTTGAGAGCCTAAACTTCTACATGATAGACCTCACCAAGCTAAGGGTTGAAGACCTTGAGCTCCTAGCCAAAAACTGCCGGTCCTTGATCTCTGTAAAGATAAATGATTGTGAAATCCTAGATCTCATTGGCTTCTTTCGAGCTGCTACTTCTTTGGAAGAATTCTGTGGTGGTTCTTTTTCTGATTTACCTGAAGATGATGTGCCAGACAGGTACTCTGCTGTAACTTTCCCCCCTAAACTATGCCGGTTGGGTCTAACCTACATGGGAAAGAAAGAAATGGCCATAGTATTTCCATTTGCTCCTATTCTCAAAAGGTTGGACCTCCTTTATGCATTGCTCGACACAGAGGATCACTGTCTTTTGATTCAGAAGTGCGCCAATCTGGAAATCCTTGAGGTATGGCCACTCTTATATATCCCTCATTAGCACTGATGTTACTCATCATCTTTTACTCATATCTGTACATCTTGTGTCTGTTTGCCTCTTCAGACATGGTTTCCTAACCTTGTGTTTGTTCCACATACTCTAGACTAGTAATTTCCCTTCGTTCTTTCTTGTTTCTGTTAATTTCACATGGACAAAGGCTTAGGTGCTAGATGAACAAAAACTATTTAAATGCTGAGAAACATCAATTTCTTTTCTCATGGGTAAATGCCTAGAAATCAGTGTGTCGTAACGTACCATACAGACCAGTTTTACCTGTCAACCTACATACCACTACCAGTGCCAGTATGGGTTTGACAGGTTATAATTCATTTTATATATTTTTGTAATAAACCTCTGTTTTACTTTGAATCACTAGCCTTACTGATTTGATATCCGGTATGGTTTCACAGTCCATGCTAGAACTAGAAGTATTCTTGGATTGAAAATAAGTTTTTGGGATTTTGGTGCCAAAGAAAATGGCTTTTGACTGAATGCAGCTGCTCTTTGTATGTGCGCAGACAAGAAATGTGATTGGAGATAGAGGGTTGGAAGTTCTTGCAAGGAGTTGTAAGAAATTAAAGAGGCTTAGAATCGAGCGTGGTGCAGATGACCAAGGACCAGAGGATGAAGAAGGTGTGGTTTCACAAAGAGGACTAATCGCTCTCTCCCAGGGCTGCCTAGAACTCGAGTACTTGGCTGTCTATGTCTCTGACATCTCAAATGAAGCTCTCGAGTCACTTGGCACCTACTCAAAGAACCTCAATGACTTCCGCCTGGTCCTTCTAGATAGAGAGGAGAGAATAGCTGATCTGCCACTCGACAATGGAGTTCGGGCATTATTGAGGGGCTGTGACAAGCTCAGGAGATTCGGTCTGTATCTCAGACAGGGTGGGTTAACCGATTTGGGAATGAGCTATGTGGGGCAGTATAGCACAAACGTGACATGGATGCTACTGGGTTATGTTGGCAATAGTGATGAGGGTCTTCTGGCTTTCGCCCGTGGATGCCCTAGCCTCCAGAAGCTCGAGATGAGAGGATGCTGCTTCAGTGAGGGTGCACTGGCTAGAGCTGTACTCCAACTGGGTTCCCTTAGGTACCTGTGGGTGCAGGGTTACCGAGCATCACAGCACGGAAGGGATCTTCTAGCAATGACTCGCCCGTTCTGGAACATCGAGCTGATTCCTCCGAGGAAAATAGTCATCCCGAGTCAGGATGGAGAGACTGTGATCGAGCATCCTGCACAAATACTTGCTTACTACTCTCTTGCTGGGCCGAGATCGGATTTTCCTGATACCGTTATCCCCTTGGACCCAGTAACCTAGTTTTGGTCTTCAAGTTGTTGTATATTAGAGATTTGAGTCAGCAACCAGTGTCTATAGTTTCATCCAACTTCCGTGTTTCTGTATTGATCTGTTGTTTAACTGTCCTTTTTCTTCTTCTTGGTGTCTGGTTTTAGAACTTTAGCTGTTCTGGTTAGAGACACACCCTTCTGTCTGTACTAATAAGGCCCTGCTCTTCTTATGTGTTTATGCAACATGTGTAATTGGGTGTAAAAGAGCACTTGAAATTGTATTTGAGAGTTGTTACCGAGACAAAAGACCAGAACATGGAGTTTGATGAAATTATATAAGACATGGTGGCATTGCATGCTTCTGAATTTTATGAAATTATATGACAGATTATACTGTGCTTTTTTTGTTGTTGTTGTTGTTGGTTGTTGATAATCAACTGTTCTTTTTCTTTTGGGTTCATAAGTTGACAGAATCAGTCTTTCAGGTGTGATTAACTGGGCTGGGCCTTCGAAACCAATGGATAGAAAGCCCAAACTGAAATGAGTTTCTTTAATCAACAAAGGAGGCACCAGAAACCCAAAAGGCCCAATCCGTGTCGCTTCCAAGTTCCATCTTTCTTTTTGTTTTATCGAATGATTTTCTTTCTTTCCAAGTTCCATCTATTGGCAAAAAAAAAAAAAATAAATAAAAATTTCTCCTTCATTTCGACGCCATGGTTCCCTTTTGTGTTTATCTCTTTCTTTCTTTCTTCGTGTCCACTCTGTCTGAGGTGGGTGTTCTTTTGGTGCTTGCTTAGGCCACCTTTACACAGTCCAATTATCTTGTCTGGGCCGAAAATAGGAGTATAGGGAAGGATCGATGAACAAAACCTTTAATTACAATATCATTAAAACCTTGTCCTATATCCATGTTTATGATTTGTTTTTAATCTCTTGTGGTTTGTGGGAACAAGAGAAAAGGAAAATGGGGATGGGAGTAAAAGGTGGTGGATAGATATCAGACATCATGCTCCAACAAACATGGTTTTGTTAGATGTTTTGGGCTAAAAAATAAGCACAAAGTGGTATGGAAAAGTTACCTTACACTCTGAAAAATTCTAGGTAAAATGTCTATAGTCTACTACTATGACTGTGATGATGAGTTATAGAGAAGTTAAGGAATTAAATAAAGTGCTTTAATTTTAGGTTGAATATGTCCCCTCTTCTTCATTCATCTCTTTATAAGAAACCCCTTTTTTCCAACTCGTAATTAAAAGATCGTTTCATGTGTAACTGTTTAAAAGTTGTTAACTTTATCGTGTGCGAGACATGTTGTATAAATCAAATATCAATTTTGCATTGTGCATAAAAAGATCATAACATACAACTTGCTCAGACCGCAACATCGTACAACTTCAAAGTTGGATATGCGTTGTTACACAACTCGGTCACGTCAGCATGTTATGTAATTCCACGTATATAACTTCTAGGTCCATTCATTCACATGCCAAAGTAACTACATTAATCATACCTACCTACTATAATTAACAGCCTCTTAACGTAATATTTGCTTAATTAACTTACTTGACACAACTTTATACACGTTTTGAGTATTTTGATTTGTAAAGTAATTGATCAGTATTATTGTTGAGACAGAATATTCGAAAATAGAAGTGGAAGAAAGATGGGCCAGAAAATACAAAATAAAAGGTTTGGATGACGTCAGTAATAATGGCCTTTCTTTTCATTCTCCATTACATTTGATATGATACGATGAATGTGTATATATAGAGTGGCAAATTAAAAGATGGCTTCCTCATGCTGCCTGTCATCCAACTTGGAGTACGGGTTGCCTCCTTTACATCCCAATAAGCAATATAATCATAAAATTATTATTCAAATGGAAATAAAATAATAACTAATAAATTGATTTTTACAGAAATTTTCGGATTGAAAAAAGACTAAAAAATGGATTTAGCAAAACAAAACAACTCGATGTGGTTGGGTTTTTTTATGCTAATTAATAACAGTTTTTATGAAAAGAATTATCAAAAAATTTATTAATAAAGTGGTCTGAAAACTTATTTACGTAATTGATGAATGATGATGATGATGGTGGTGGTTTTATTAGCTAAGCTATCACAAGAAAGAAAGAAAGCCCACAAAGTGTGCAAAGCAAAGCAGGTTATTATTAATAAAAAGTGCCAAACTAGTGACGTCACACCATTATGTGTTGTTATTCATTCTGTATTTTGTTTTTATCCCCTTTTTGAACGAATGACAGATCTGCTGGGAAAGAAGAAGTTGGTTGGGTCGACCAAGCTTAGCTTGCTTCTTGATAATCATTATTCATTACCAAACAATAATATTAATTAACTCAAATCCAGAGTAGTGTTTGTTACCGACTTCTCGCGAATAAGATGTTTTCGAAGAAACCATGTAAACATAATCCACGTACCGACTACTGAGCAGTCCTCCAAATAATAAGTTTGCTATAGCATGCATTTTCGGTTTTTTCATTTATGGTCGATATGTAAGATTTTGACGGATATTCTTAACACTCAATAAACAAATTTAAATGAGAATTGATAAGATATTATGTGTTTGTGGATTTATACTTTCATTTTTTCAAACACTAGTATAAATTCTTTTGGAGAATTAACTTATTCGTGTATTACATGATAAGAAATATACTTTATTATCAAATATCGTTTCTTGTCCCGATGACTTGAGTAAGAACGAAACTTATGGTTAATCTTGCCCAAATCCAAGTAAAATCATTGATTATGAGTAGAGTATGGGTGAAATATATGTGTTAGGTGTTTTGTAGATGGATCTCAATAGAATATGAATATTCCTTTTTTTATAGGATTGACATAACTTTGAATGACTACCCCTACGTGTAATGCCTCACCGGTTTTCTGGTAAACCTGCACCACCACAACTTAGATTCCATAGCAAATCCATGGGTCAATTCAAGCGCACAGTCGAATTCGTATCTCTAAGATTGAGCTAGCTAGGTCGTCAAGTAAAACTGTAAAAGGAAGGACGAAAGTTGTGTGTATGCAATCTCTTGGTCCTCCTTTTCTTTTTAGTAAGCTCCTTAAGAATAATAATAATATTCTTAAAGCTAAAATAGCTATAAGATTCTTTATTCCTGCAAATTAGTACTGAAAAAGAAAGGACATGCAACAGGGAAAAAAGGGGAAATTGTCCATTAAATAACAAAAGCGGGAAGCCCTTTAATTGATGCCTTTGCATTCCTTGTCTTTCTTCCACACTAAGGGGTTTGCTGCTGATCAGTGATCAAACAGTGTGCCCACTGTCAGTCTTTCACGGATATAGACTTTCGAAGTCCGTGCGGTGTTTTGAGGTGCACTTGTTCCTCAAGATCAGTCTTTCCGCATATGCATGTCAACTGGTTTCGCTTTGCCTTGAGCTCATTAGGGAGACGACAATAGTCCCCGACCAGTTGTACCTTCGGTTGCAACGATCCCTGTAATAGCCACATCCTGATTCGGCCAAAACGATGCACAGACAGACAACGCCTTAACGTTAATGTCGCTCCATTTACCCCTCTCGTGGCAAGACAACCAGATAGCAATATCTTCCATTGAGTCGAGCCACAAACAATCGCATTTGTGCTTGCCGGTGCAACCAGAAATATCCATCCATCCACCCCCACACACAAAACAAAACAATTATCGTACATAATTATACAGGTTTTTGTAAGCATACACAGTGATACACTAGTATAATTGGATTGAAGACAACGGTTGTTGTGTACAATCCAATGACATAAAAAAAAATCCTTGTAAGCATCGTAGTTATGTTAATTAAAGAAAAACTATTTAATTTTCTCTTAAAATCCGTATTGAAATATATTCCAGACAGTTAGCAGAATAGTGTTCAGTCGTACACTCGTGGTTTAACCAGTAATATATATTAGAGTATGTGTAGTATGAGTAGTCTTGTGTTATACTGCGAATACTGTTATGTAATTAGACAGAGTTATATTCCTTATTAGAGTCGTAGAAGTTATGTAATTTTCATATTAGTGTTAGGATTATTATAGAAGTCACTCTTTGTACTCTATATAAACACTAATTGGTGTCAATAATAATACACAACCATTTCTACCGTATTATGATTTACCAACAATATACTGATAGGATATTATTATTAAAATAAGATAATATGTCCAATCCGGCATAAGATTGATCAAAACTTGTAAAACCAACCATTATACCTCAGGCTGTTTGACCATGTTGTGTCAACCCATGCATACTCTTTTTTTTTTTTTAAATATGTATGTATTCGGTCTCCTAATTATCGATGGACAATTTTTATGGTCATACCGTAATAGAGAACAAATACCAAATGGCAATAAGATTTGGATTGGCGGAAGGAAAGGAAGAGTAATAAACTAGTGAAAATAAAATCCAGAAAGAATCACATTTGGCATTCCGACGTGGACCGGTCGTTTCCATATTGGAGGAATATGGGTTTTGATTTTTGAAGCAGCATGTGATGCTTCAATCGTAAGTGGAATGCAGACTCAGCTGCGACTATGAAAATGATGATTAGTATGGTCAGCTTTCTTTCAATTCCATGCCCTTTCTTTTCAATTTCTTTACTGGTCAACTTGGCCACCTTGGCTTCCATCCATAATATATCATTACTAAACACGCACAAAAAAAAAAAACCCTAATAATCACTTCACTACAACCATTCTAATTACCTTTGTGCTCCGATTAGGTACAAATCATTTTATTTTTTTAGGGTACCAACGACACACGTGTACAAGAACATATGTAGTCTTTAGTCCACAAACAATCAACACTACTAGCTAATACAGTGATCAGAAAGAAATTTAGAAATAATCTAATGTAATTACATAAAGAAGAAATCTAATGAAAAAGTTGTCACTGATGACGGTGCTTGTTTGGCCACATCAGGCTGAAGACGCGGCAGATTAAAAGCATATGTACTACTACTTTCCCCCTAATATAACGATGGTTAATTTCATCATAATATGTGATTTTCTCGGATAATAAATGACGTTTCGATCTTAATAAACCAAATTTTGGGCACCAATTTCATGCGGACAAGAAGAAGGTATGGCATCCGAGCTACTCAGAGCAGATACATAGCAGATCGATCATATCATGCATATAGAACTAGAACATTTGTAACATATTTGACAGCTTGTTTCCGCATATAAATTCTAATTAGTAAAAAAAAAAAAAACAGAGGCGGACAATCTACGGAGCACTCCGGAGTCCTTCTTAGCTGCGGATTCTTCGAGCCGCCGAAAACTGGAACGCCGCCGTGTGGCGAGCGGCGGCGGCTGCATACAGGTTTTGGTCATAGGGGGACGAACCCATCATGAACAAGTCGGCGTT